ACAAGCAGCACTGCCTGATTCTGGTTCCAAAAGACCTGAGACAACACTGGGCCGGTTGCTGCTCGTCGCTTGTTTGTGCTTGCAAGCAAGCTGAGGAAACTATTTCTGTGAAATGTAGACTCTCTTCAGCTCTTTGCCGTCCACACCTCTGAAACAATTACACGTTGATTTCTTTAATGGAAATTTGAAAAGTGTAGCATACATTTGTATTCATTCAAGGACCGCCATTCATTCGCTGCAGTGAAAGTGTCAGTTTTGTTTGTTTTTATTTGTTTCTACCAGCTGCTGTACATCTAGAGATAAGAAAAGGTTTCTTTTCTCTAGATCAATTAGCTTGGACTCACAGCTTCACCTTTTTATTCCTACCACAGACCCCTATTTGGATGTAATTCTTTAACCAGGACAGCTCACTGTAATAGATACTGTGCTCCGTGTTTTTACGTGTCATTGCTCCTACACGGCTGTGTTAATGATTGTAACATCTATTCTCTTCTCAAGTTGAGCAGTGACCTCACAATGAACCTTTTGATTCAGCTGTGTTTAACCAAGAGGCTATCCTAATGGTGCTCCACACGGTCTCTTGCAGTTTGTTGCTGTCGCTGTGGTTTCATGTTTTAGGTTTAGTTTAATTGTCGGACTGCAAGTTGAACATCAGGTTTTCACTCACCGGCCAATCATATTCCCACCAACTCTAACCAGCTTCCCTCCTGAAGGCAAGCACCCACCACAGCATGATGTTGCCACCACTGTGTTTCAGTGTGTCAGTTTAACATTGGTAGTTTTGTGCTGGAAAAAGTTTCCTGCTTGTGAGTCGAGAAGGTAGATTTTGTGTCTCACGACAGCAACTTCTTCACTGTTTGTTATACTTGGCATGTGGCAAACCGCACATGGGTCAACAGAAACGTCCTCCTTCTCTTAGTATAATATCTCAGTTGGGTATTTTTACAGCTACGACAAAATCTTTTGTCTTCTCATGCTGGACCAGTGCTGGGAAATAAATCAATAGCAATATATATCACAATGAACAGTTCATCAATATTAATAGATAATATGTCTCATAGATTATTCAGTCATTTCACCGAACTTCCTTTCCGATTTACAAACGCACATCATTCTTGGGAATGTAAGCAGAGGAAAGACTTTAGTCATTCAACCTCTCACGGCAAACTAAGCAACATGGGACGCATCAGCGAACTCACTCACTCTTCGGTTACCTACAACAACTTGTTGTGTACCTTGCACAGCAGCAGTTTCAGGTCCTGCCATCGTACTTTGTAACTGGAATGAAAACTGTGGTTAGCATAGGAAAGGTCAGTATTCCAGATATTTAAAACAAAAAACAAATCAGTAATTATCGATATCGGCTGATATAAAATGCTTATATTGTGATATGTTTTTCAGCTGTATCGCCCAGTGCTTTGCTGGATTTAGCATCACATGCACACTGTGTTTACTAAATAGGTGAGTAAAGAAGGCTGCCATGCCACTATTTGCAGATTTTTAAAAGAAATATGCATCATTTTTCTTTCACATCACAAGTACTTTTTGCTGGTCTGTAACACTAAATCCCAATAAAATAATTGGCCTGGAAACTTTAGCAAGGCGATGTTTCAAAAAAAACTTCCATTTTCTTTTTACATATTAAACTTTTTACCACATGTGGGGGATGAACCACTACTGAAACATGGCGGCAATGCCTTCCAGAGCACAACAGCCTTCTCCTGATCCTTAATGAGAATAAAGATTTCCTGCAGAGTCCAACTTACTGCACAGGCTTTGAAAGCCCAGCTGCTCACACCAACTGGATATGCAACCATGTCTCAGTTCAGCTGCTCCAGTCACTTTTCTCAGTTGAGTGCTGGAGACAGAAAGAGCTGTAGGTGAGGCTCAGGCAGCTCACTGTGTCCCGGTGAGTGGGGCCTTATATGTGATGCTGCATTAAGGTCCCGGGCTCTGTTGCAGGGTGTGACTGCAGAGCTGTGACAGGCTCTGTGTGGAAGATGTGAGCTCTGGCAGGGACCTGCCAGGGGCAGCGGGTGAAGACAGCGCACTGTGTCCTACTGAAGCTCTTGAAAGCCGCGCTCAGCCTCTTTACTCTGTCCAGGATTTCGTCATGCTCTTCCCCGTTGAGGTTGAAGCCTTGGATCTTTGTCGTTCCCGTCCACACAATTCGCAGAATGTCCTGTCAGACCTTTGTTTTAAATATGTTTTTTTTTTTTCAATCTGCAAACTTTCTTACTCTTCAGTAAATCTTTCTGTCATTCCTTTTAAGTTCTTTGAGATTTTCAAATCTCTTCATGTCTCTATTTAGGTGTTGGCATCATTACTGTGTCCAAAATTATTATATTTCAGTTCTTTTTTCCATGTGTTTCTAGTGAAGCATATTATCAGCTTGTCTCTGAGCAAGAAAAAGGCTTTTGGTAAAACACAGTGGAAAAAAATTGCGACTTCTCTATTCGTCTAACAAAAGCTTGAGCTCCCAAGTCTTCAGGGAAAGATTAAATGCTAACATCCAGAATGTCAAGTGAACGAGCATCTCACTTCATGTTGAACCCAGTTTCGTTTAGACCGAATTAATGAGCCGGACCGGAGGGGCTGCTGAGTACCGGGAACAAGCTAGAGCTGTTAAGATGGCTAATTGAGTTTTATGTTTTCAGCATATTTTGAGGTCTTGAGACTAAAATCTTTTATCACCAGGAGATATCTGAGGAGGAGAATTTCACCGTGTTCCAAATCATGATGATATTTTCCCAGATTTTCTTAAATGTTCAATGTGTGGTCAGTATAATTTTTAAGTCATGAACTATTACAGTTTAAATTAAATTTGACTGAACAAAGCTCCCCATGAGAACAGTATTTGTTTCAAAAATAAAAAAAAACCTCAAAATGCACTGTTCCAAATTATTATGCACAGCAAATTTTCTGAACATTTTATGAATTATAAAGAGCTGCAACCGGTCATTCTTTGAATGTGAGGCATTAGGTGGTCTAAAATCAAAAGCTATTTCAATCAACAACATCCTAACAGACAGTTACAAATTAACATAGGGCCGCTTCTTTGATATCACCTGCACAATACTTACATCCATTGAACTTGTGAGTTTGTGGAAAGTTTCTGCTTAAATTTCTTTCCAGGATGTCAGAAAACCTTCCCAGAGCTGTTTTGAAATGAACTGCATTCAGCCCTCAGATATTCTGCTTGAAACTCCAAAGGTTCTCAATAGGGTCAGAGGTCAGAGGAGGATGGTGACCACACCATGAGTTTCTCCACTTTTATGCCCATAGCAGCCAGTGACACAGTGGTATTCCTTGCAGCATGAGATGGTGCATTGTCATGCATGAGGAGGATTTTGGTACTGAAGGTATGGCTCTTCTTTTTAAACAATGTAAGAAAATGATCAGTCAGAAAGTCCACATACTTTGCTGATGTCCTTTTCACACCTTTGGGGAGCCTATAGGGGACGACCAGCTCTCTCCCCATGACTTCTGCCCAAAACATTACCTCCACTACTGCGTCCATCAGGGAACAAGTCTGTTTGAAAATTAATCTTCATGTTCAGCTGGGCCCACTGCGACCATTTCTGCTTGTGAGCCCTGATTAGGGGGCCCAATAGTAGGTTGATGCACCGTAAGCCTCTGGAGGATCCTCCACCTTCAGAGGCACCAGCAGCTTCAAATGACTGTTTGCTGCTTCCTCATTATGCCTTTATCTGTACAAATCCATTTTTGTTCTGAATCAGCCACAAATCTATTCACGCTTCAGTTTTTGTTAAATGTCTGTTTTCCTGTCTTGTCATACGGGCACTACACTATCTGATGATTTTCATCAGCAGAGAAATCTTTTCTCTTTCCCATATTGCTTGAAACCTGTGGCCTGCTTAATAATGTGGAACATCCTTGTGAAATAGATTTCCTTTAATGGAGCTTACCGTAAATTTCTGTAAATTTTTTCCACTGTGTTTTTTACACAAAAAATGTTTTATCTCACCCTGTGAGGCAGGCCTTGTCACAATATCACACTCCACCCCATTTGGTGAAATTATGTCATTCTTCTTCAAAGCTCTGTGCTCCAAAAAAGGTTGCAGTGAGTGTGAGATTTTCAGGCTCTTACTTTGTATTGCATCTCAAAACATCCTATAATGTAATTCTTAACTATTTTCCCTCCTTGTATCCTTCATGGTTAAATCTACATCTTCATACTAAGGGGGAACCAATAAGGTCCAACTTGAACTGCAAAAAGTAGCGGTGTTGCTTCACATTTGTTGTTGGAGAAGCTTGGGCTCTTTTTCTGGTTTTCATACCATTGGCAAAGACTTCCCATCGATTATACATAAACCCGCTCATAAGTACGCATTCAAACGGTGCAAAGCTTAAGCTGAAAGGCATGCACACATCACGTTTTACACAGCGACGCAACGCAGCCCTCACCGAGATGACAGGGGAGGGAACAGATGTAAAAGATGAAAGGAGAGAAGGAGGAAGAGATAGCTGGATGGGTGGAGGGAGAGTAAGTGCGCTGACAGGACTGTGACGGGGCTTAATTACCAAGCGAGTGCTGCACGCTGGAAGCAATTTCTAAGGATTGTTGTCATTTGAACGGATTAAAACGCCTTTCCACTGGACTAAGCTGTCTCACTGCCAGCTTGTTTCTGTGGGGGATTAAAAGTCGAGTCGAAGACAGAAAGCAGAAAAGGGACGGAGGCAGAGAGCACTGTCACAAAGGGCACTTTAAGGCAACACGGTGCAAGAGGGGGGAAAAGATTCACGAGAGAAGGAGAAACCGCGCCAACCCTGTGCGCCGCGAGACAGGAAAGAGGCTGTGTGAACGCACAAAGAAATCTGAAAAGATTAATAACCTCCCCTTTTTGTAGTCATACACTCTCCTTCTCTCTGTTTTGTTACAGTGTGGATGTTTACCAATTTCAGTAAAAAAAAGAAAAAAAGCATGCATAAATTTTAAGATGGTAATATGTGCTTCTTGTCTTCCTCCCTTCTCACAGACATCGAGGGCTGCGAGCACTCGTGGAGAAAGTTTCACGGCCACTGCTACAGGTACTTCAGCCGCAGACACACCTGGGAGGATGCTGAGAAGGACTGCAGGGAGCACAGCGGTCACCTGGCCAGCATCCACACTGCAGCAGAGCAGAATTTCATCAGAGGTGGGTGGAGGTCACAATCTACTCACAGAAAGAAAACCTATAGAAACTATACCTAGGAAGGAAATTCACCAAGCAGAGCAGTCTCTATATTTATTTGAAACTGTTGCTTATATGCTACTTCTTTTGTTTTTGCTACTGGATTCACTGAACACATTCTAATAAATAGTCACAGAGGCAGGAGATGCAGAAGCAAATCAAGAGAGAAAGTGTTTTAAAGTTTTCTTATAGATATTTTAATTTACAGAAAACTTCTAATCCTCAACAGAGGAGCAAAAACTCAAGACATATATGACTCTTGATGGCCTTTGCAATCAACCACGCAGTTTGCAAAAGAAAGCGAAACGACAGATTAACCATGGAATAAAACGATTTGATTGAAATCAAAATTATATTAGCGTAAATTGATGGCATGTAGTCTAGTCAAAGTTTATAGTTTAGCTAATTAAGGGAGAAATTGTCAAAGCAACGATAAATGGCTTTTATAATTCATTACTTGTGATTTAAAAAGTACGGTGCAAAACTGACAGATGCTGCCCTTTTGATGATGATTGTTTTTTGTTGCACAATCTGAAGGTTCTGCGGTTTTGATCCAAGAACGAATCAGACAAACGAATCACAGTTTTCCCCCCTGGATGACCTCCTTTCATGATGCCACACAATGAAGTGGTGTGTTTGAGGTGATTCTTCAAAATACATCTTCAGATGTGCCTCCAATTAACTCAGATCAGCTCATTGAAGTAACAGATGACAAAGCCATAATATGAACATCTGGGTCTCTGTATAATTGTGCAAACAAATAGTAACCTCAGCTTATGCTACACTTACTTCATTTGAAGCAAATACATATCTTTACCTCTTTGGGGGTTTTGTGGCAAGTAAATAGAGAATTACAAGTTTTCTAGTTTAGCGAGTGTTTGATTCTTATATTTCTGCTTGTCTTAGACTCACTGCGCAGTATGTTTGTTGACCACAGTCAGCAGTTTGTTTCAACATACCCGGTTCTGTGTCTCGGCGCCTCGTCTCTTCAACCCCGTCGTTTTCCCCCCCAGCAGCGCTCTACCGCCACTTGAGTTATGACATCAGGATCACCAGCAGCATGATCCTGAAATGTTCAACTCGCTGTCTGTCTCAGTGAGGCCACAGTACCATCCATCTAACGCTTCTTTTTTTTTCTTTTTTCTTTTTTAATTTCCCCCCAAAAAAAAGTGCTCAGTTGCCTTGAAAATGGGTGTCTCCACCCCTGCAATAAAGGGTTCAGAACCATTAGCAAGATTAATGGACCCAGTAACGATGTTAATCATCAACGTGATTGAAATTTTAATACGTACAGTATGTGCAGGGACTTTTGCACGCCCACACATGCAAATGAGTTTAAGCCAAAATTCCATTAGGGAAAATTCATTCATAAAAAACCCCAAAAACAAACCACTGAACAGTCGCCCTCAGACATCGCTGGTTGCTGTTATTGTCTCTCAGCTGCAGCCAATAAGGAAACTTCATTTCTCAACCTAATAAATGTTTTTGGACATTAAAATTATATGCGGTCATACATTCTTTGTGTTTTAGACAGACTTGGAGAACACCATGACATTTTGGCAAAAGTGTTGGTTAAATACAATATTTCTAACACTTGATTTATTCATTTGTCTTACATCTGACACAGGTCTGAGCCATGAGAATACCTGGATTGGGCTGAACGATCGTACAGTGGAGGATGACTTTCAGTGGACGGACAAGACAGACCTGGTGAGGAAGCAAATATTTCTAACCAGCAGAGTTTAAAATGCCAGATATGAGGGATGTGATGAGACACGAAAGAATATCTAATTTGCGCAAAAAAATATCCTGATCACTGATATACTTTAAAAAATAAATAAATAAACCTGATTATTATGTAACAAATCAATTATCAGAACAGAGTTTTCCTGTTTGGACTCCGTTCTCTTAAATGTCATTTCCTCTGCCTTTGGCATGTATCGATTTATATGATATGCACTTGGATTTATTTTTTGCTGCACTGCTGACACACACAGTCTCAACATTAAAACCAAGCCCTTTATTTGTTGACAACATGGTTGCAGAATTTGTCAGGTAACATTAATACAAAACTAAAGGTAAATATCGGAAAATTGTCCACGCCAATGCAAGCAAACACAGCAGTAAATGCAGTCAGAACTTTATAAAATCCAAATACTGTGAACAGAAACTTGAAGCTCATGAGACTGCAAACACTGTAGAGGTTTTATGAATTACAAATTCTGTAAAATTTAATTAAACATGATGTAGTATATCCAAGACACCTCAAGAAAACTGAAATGGCCCTTTAGTTCCAGCAGGAAGCTACATTATAGCAGATGCCAGCTGTGGTTTTCTCAGACTACTTGCGAATTGTTTTTACCTCATTTTGTTCACCTGCCACCATTTATCTGTTCTGCAGATAACCCAAAGTACTCCTACAAAAACTATTTTAAGGTAATGGAGGCTTTTCCAATGGTAATGTAACCAAATTTTAGCAGCAAGTCCTGCCAAATCTTTTATTCCTTTCTCACTTCAAAATAAACATCTCAAACATAGTATCTGTTTCAAAGCACTTCCCTTCATATTCAGAGCTGACAGACAGCACAAACTCACTTCAGCAGACAACTAGAAATCACTTTTACAGATGGATGACACTTTGGCAAGAAATCTAATGCTGTTTTAATGAGATTTTATTGCCTCCCATAGTGAGTAAAACTGTATAATCAAAAAAGTTCAACACGCGTTTTGTTTTGTTTTTTGTTGGGTTTTTTAACTCAGCTGTTGTCATTCTTAACTTTCTGCATGTGTACTTTTCTTTACGTCTGTAGCAATATGAAAACTGGCGGGAAAACCAGCCTGACAATTTCTTTGCCGGAGGAGAGGACTGCGTAGTAATGATCGCCCATGAGAACGGCAAATGGAACGATGTGCCTTGCAACTACAATCTGCCCTACGTCTGCAAGAAGGGAACAGGTGAGAGCCTGGGGCTGCAGCACGAAGCAGCACTCAGCAGGTTGGAAGAGAAATTCATCAAATCTAAAGAGTGAGACTGAGGAGCCTGGGCTGAGCAAGACAAATACAGTGGAAACGGTGCTGCTGCTCTGCTCAGTTTGAGACTTAAAAGTGCAATTATTAGGTATAGAAAAAGGTGAGCAAAAGTTCTTCAGAGAACTTTTTTGAATGTAAATCAGTTCAGAAGTGTTGCAGCCCCTCTGCTGTTAAACCTCAAGGATTGGTTAAAAAAAACAGAAAGAAAAAGAAAACCTTAAGATGATTATGAACATACTTTACATTACACACATCTCCCATTTGGAGGAAGAGATTTCCTCTGAGCCTCTTCAATCAGGACATGTTCAGCTCTTCAGAGTCTCCCTCACTGCGTCATCCTCTTTCATTGACATTTGGTAGCTTTCAGCACGCTGCTCATGAATTATTCTTATAAAGCTTGGTCATCACAGACAACAGAGCAAACATATTAATTAGTTTGTCCTTTTGTGAACTGCTTGTCACCTGTTGAGGTGCTGCAGCCATAAAACTGCCATGGATTTGCATACAGAACACATTTATGATCAAAGGCTAAGACACTGACATATGAGCCTTCTTCTCTTAGGGACAACTTCCACACCAGAGCTTGTTTCTGTCAGTGCGGCCAGGAAGCACTAACAAATGAAACATCGGTAAAAGATTTTTGACTTTTTGTCCAACCTGTACCAGTAAATTTCAGTCGTCAGCCAATTTCTCTGCACATAATTTTTGATCTTTAAACCAAAAATTAACTGGTTGTTTTAAAACACCAGGTTTTGTGCTAATGGAGACGAGAAACCAAAAACACAAACAGATCTACGACTAATTAAAAGTTTTGCTGAAGGTGACGCAGTGAAGAGCTATAAAGGAGAAAGCTCAGCCCTCTTTTAGACTGTCGCTATGATAATTTAACCAAATCAAGTCTGCTTCTGCAAAACACAGAGAGCGTTCCTTCTGTCGCTGACGTAACGCAGAGCCCTCCGGAGGCGGTCCTGCTCTATTTCAGAATAAGCGCAAAGCTATTTCCTTCACAAGGAAGGTGTTGCACCACCTCTGAAGCACACTGTCACAAGTCCCCAGCATCCGGCCCACCTCTGACCTCAATCAGTCAATTGAAATCAGCAGAATCTTTTCATCTTCCCGCTACTCCCCGCCGGCAGCCCCTTCTTCACTCCTGGTAACCCTGTGCACTGTCTTGTCCGATCAGTGGAGTTTGTCAGCGCCACGCTGTGAGTTCCCTGCTGGATTTCTAATTACCCCCGCTCAGGTGATCTGTTTGTTTTCTCTTCACATGAACCTATCAGACATTGATCGACAACCAGGGAGACAGTCAAGGAGCCGCCTCACGCAGCTAGCAACAATTTTTCCTCCTGTTTATCTCAGAAGAGGAAAGATACTTGATGTTATATTCTACATTTTCTACATTTTGCATTTTCGCAGAAGAGATAGCGTGTGTTAACATATTTTAGTAAAAGAATGTTATTTTTGACATTTTTATTACGACAATAATGCACCACTAATTTGCATTTTGAGGAAAATTGGAAAACAAGTCCTATTACGGATTAGGCTGTGCATTTAAATTTGGAAAGCCTGCCCGGGAAATCATTTGCCTTGAGCTCTTTCATCAAAAGAAAAAAAAGAAAAACGTGAGGAGGGGATTCACCTTCAGAGGACATGCAGTCTGAAATTATTACACTTTTGATGGATTATTGTGTGCTAAAGGTTGGAAGCTGAATTTGCATGGTGTCCTGTGTTAATGCTGTGAGCCCTCCATAGTTTTTCAGCTCCTCTTTGTTTTTTAGCCTCTTTTTTGAGACTTTTTCAAGTGTCAGGAAAAGTAAAGTGACACAGATGACAACTAGGATATGACTGCAAAGAAGCATTAAAGGTGGGAAACCAGAACATGGCTGTTTATATACATAGTAAGGCTGAGGAGCTGGTATCTCTGGTGGGGCTGCAGAGATCAGCAGCTCAGGTGGGAGAATGTTGCGCATTAAACAAACGTAACATTGGTGGAAAAGTGGCCAGAAGAAATTCACTGCTAAACAAAAGCCACTCTGTGTTGGACTCACACAAGAATCTAAGAATATCTTAAAAAGTTTGAGGGATCTGAGAACTTTACGCTAAGAGTTTTGTGTTTCTTAAGTGTTTTTCGTTCTAGTGAAAGTATCGTAGTATACTTGAAATGAAACCAAACTAACTTACAAGCAGCAAGATATAAGACATCGTATCAAGTCAGTAATTTCTTAATGGTGACGGGAAAAGTTATAAGTGAAATAATTTGCCAGTGAAACTCGTATTTTTCATCAATATTAAAGATTTATTTACCTACAATAATCTCCATTTCTTTCTAAAAAGTTACTTTGAACTTAGTTTTGTCTTACTTCAAGTGCACTAAGATATTTACACTAGATCCTAGACCAAAAATACTTTAAGGTCTCGTGTTTTTGCGTTCGTTTTTGCTCTGAGAAAGATTTATACTTTCATCTAGGGAAGAAAAGCTCAAAACACAGAGACGATAAGAGCGTTGTAGGAGAACGGCTCAGACCTACTCTGGTTTGGGGATGCTTTGTTTTTTTTTTAATTGCCTTGTATCTCTGTGTTTCAACAGCGCTCCACAATGAAACCATCATCTCTAAGTCACCTGCAACATTCACAAAGAGAAGCATTTTGCATTTTGTTCTTTGTTAACAAAAAAGTGAATCTGTCAACGTGAACTTCTCTCTCTCTCCTGGTCGAAAATGCACACACAGAGCCGCTTTACATCTCTCTCGCGTTTCCCTGTCATGATTGTTAGTGGGTGTGCAGACGCTTTGAGGCCGTAAAGGAGCGCCGAGAGGACCCTGCATCAAGCTGTCTGCAGCTCTTTGCATTCCTCTGCCTCACACTGGCAACCCCCCGCCACACAGGCATAAAGCCGCAAATAATCCCTCTGTCGCTGCTCACAGCATGAATAAACACATCCAATGTATGAAACTTTTAGAAAACATAAACAAATGTGTCTCGGTAAGCTTCATAAAGTGTACGTTCGTTTTTGTATTATTTAAATGTATGTAAAATTCCTGAACACAAGAGGAAAATATATAAAGTAGTCGACATAATACTGCAGTTTTCAGGTGTATGCCTGTGCCTCAGGTGTGCCGCTACCCTGTGAGCAACATTTTCTGTGGATTTTCTGGTGTAGATCTTTTCATTCCGACTTATAGAGTTTGACATCCAGGGCTTTATGCTGGGATGTCAGCATAAAGCCCTGACTTAAAAAGTGCTCTGTGAAATCTCTGCTTTGGTTGCTTCTTCTGGGCTTAGTGACATTTTCTTTCATCCATCTTTCAGTATATCTGACTTGTCTTGCCATCCCTGCAAAACAAAAACAGAAAGAAAAAGAAAAACTCTACGTGGCTTGTAGGCAAAGAGAAATCTACCTTTTAGCCATCCGTCCTTGTTGACTCAGTGATTTTCCTGTGTCATAAAGAGTCTGATTTTCCTCTCCCTTCTTCTTTCACAACCCATTAAACTGTAAATGTGGCATTAGGATTTCCATTTGAATTAATGATATTGCTTCGCCTTTTAGAGGGTGTTGAATCATTCACGTTGGGAAAACCGACAAAGATCTTCTGATTGCATATTCGGTTATTCCTGTGATGCACGAATAAAGTTCACAGAAGAAATCGGCGGTAGTTTGACTGTCAGACAGCATTTGAAGCGAAAGCCACATTTATTGGCACCATGCCGCATTTAACGGTAACATAATGTGAAGAGCGCCTGAAAATATATTAATCTTTTATTGCAGCAGCAAAGTCGCGCATGAACAATTTATAAAATGGATCGTTTCATTTGAGTACATTCGTTGGAGGAAAATCCCGTCTTCCAGAAAGAATTGTTTTGATCCGAATCACTTGTGGCGCCTGCTCTAATAACCCATTTGAAATGAAAGTAAAGCATTTTCATTCATACTCGTATTTATTCATTTATGGCTAATTAGTAGCCTTCTCTTTCTCTGGACTACAAATATGACGTGACTCAGGGCATCTCTCATCACCACTCATCATCAAGGTAGATGACGTATCTTGTGTTTATCTTGCCAGTGACCAGGATGTTAGGTGAGGTAAAGAAAATCTCCAGAACTCACAGTTGGTGAACTGCAGGCAGGAGTGTCATCTTGAGTTTATCAAAGCTCTAAAACAGCCATTGGTGGGTGATATTTTCACAGGAAAGAGAGTTGATACTCATACCGCCATCACATGTTAACACATGTAGATTCTTCAGCTTCACTGATACTGGTTAGATGAGTGGGTGGTTGATCGACCAGCAATGTATCTCGTGAAAAATTATGCGGACCCGCAGGAACCCTGTTATGCATGGCATCATTAACTTTTTACACAGTGGGACATTTTTTTATGAAAAAATCTGGTGAACTCCCCCCCAAAAAAAACAAAAAATGCGTATGAATACCTATTAGCCTACCTATGTACTACGATAGGTTAATGATTCAAAAGTATAAACAACCCAATGCAAAAGTGGATTAACAAGTCTGAACAAAAGTTATTAGAGAAAACTGAATGCTGTGCTATGGAAGAGTGGTCGTTGTCCAGAGTATTAACAGTTTCCAAAAGTTTTGATGACGCACAAAAATATTAAAAATTAGTTCTTAGCGTCTGATTTTTCTCACTTGTTGAATAAATGCAGTCGCTTTAACAATACTTTTTAGTGCAGTGTTTTTTCATATTGATTTTCTCAATGAATGCTTTTAATCATTTTTCTGTTAGTGATGGTCAGCACTTTGTTTCCGGTGCAGCTGGTGTTACAGTGCTACGTAAAGTTGTTGATGATGATGATTTTTAGTGCAATTCTGCCTAAAAAGACATGCAGTTCAGCATTAATATGAAATAAAACTGTACCATTGTGATTAGTCCAGAGCTGATCGTGAATGTCCATCACTAATATTTAGTTAAGATCTAACTGTGAGCTGTGTTTACATGAGCTTTTCAAGTGTAGACTAGATGCATGTAACAGAGATTATTCCACATTAAATGTAAAGCAGGTGACAGCTGAGTGTCAGCTCTGTGACTCCTAACCAGACAGTCTCAGACCATCCAGCGTTACTGCAGGAGACTGTTGGACTGCTTCCCTGTGGCTTTCCCATCCTGTCAGTCTCTGCACAGCGTGTCAGTCCTATTTCCTGCTGCTTCTGTAAACATTTTCCTTATCCTCGCTCCTCTCCTCATATGTCGAAATTGCATTTTTACCTTGACAGGCACCCACTCAACACTCAGTCTTACACTGACTTTGCTGTCCTGCAGAAACGAAATCCAGATTATGATGTTTTCGATGCGGTAATGCTCTAAGAAAACTGTAAGTCAAAGTCTGAATGTGTGTCTGTATGCGTCCTGAAATGTGGGATTTTAAATGTGGATGATGAACCCACATCATCCTTGTAATTTAAAGACTACTTGTGTAATGAAGACGCCGGTAGAACCAAACTAAAGAAGAAAATCTAGGTAGAGGAAGTAAGACCTCCTATTTTTTGATTTTGTTTTTACCAAAGAAGTGACATCTAAGTTTTGAATTGTGTTCTGTGAAGTCAACAATCACAGTTAGTTAAGCGTCTAAAAAAAACAAACTTCAAAAACATTTCATCTTTTTCTCATGTCTATCTTACTTTGTGTTGTCTTAAGGATTAAAATAATATTAATAAAGCCTGCAGATTACGTTGTTGAAATTAACCACTAAGGGAGATGGAGCAACACCATATGAGTTTAATCAATTACCCAGTCAGCCTAATCTCTGATTGGCAAGTGAAATGCTGAAAAATCTGTTTCCACCAATTACGCTCATCTATTAATGCATCAACCTGCATAATTTACTTCGACATAATCTCTTTGAGTTTAATTTAAAAAAAATTGTTTTAAATATGTGAGGCACATATGCATGTTAGCATAATCTTTCCATTTCTTCATTATTAGTTTATTTCTTTATTGCTTTGTCATAAAACTGGGAGCACATTGTTTTTAATTATTATTTTATATCTTAAAGGTATTCAAACTTGTTCTCTTGTTGTTTTTCTACTGCTCTAAATGAGAGAGAGCGCTCACTCATCAAAACTGGAATGGGTGTTTAAAGCATTACAGCTGCTGCACGTCAACAGCATCTAAACAATGTTTGGTATTAAGTTATTCAGCTTATTGATTTTAGCTGTTAAACTTATACGGTCGTTCTAGTTTTAGCACTAGATGGTACTGCTTACATAAATATCTAACTGGGCTAAAAGGACATTTTCCAATAAATGACAATCAAAAGTTTAACAATTTTAACACACCAGTAATTTTACTATTACTAGATTCTAGCCAATAACATTGGAGGGTAGCAAGGTAAAAGTTAGCTTTTGCAATATGATTTATCTGTATAATTTTTTTTTTGCTATAATACCTGTTTTAGTTTATAGTTATTAGGGTTTTTTTTTTCTTTCTCAAATGTGTTTGTGGAGTGACTTTCACTTCTCCTAATCCTTCTGAGCTTTAAATGCTGTGAAAAAAGAATCCATGTTTATATGTTGTTGAGCATTGGCTGAGCTGTGATTGTGCTTAAGGTCTTTTGAAGGCATCAGTGAGCATGTTCCTAATCCTGGCATAAATCAGCTGCTTCGTTCAAGCCCGGCTCTGTGTTTCTGAAACTGATCAATCCGGGATCCAGCTTTTTTCTTTTTTCGTCCGGGCTTCCCCTGCTCTGAACTTGTCCTCTTTGTGGCCCTTGTGTCTCTCCAGTGCTTTGCGGGGCCCCTCCCAGCGTGGACAATGCCTTTCTAATTGGTCGGAAGCGTTCCCACTACGACATCCACTCCATAGTGCGCTACCAGTGCGGTGATGGCTTCCTGCAGCGCCACGTTCCTACTGCTAAGTGTCGTGCCAACGGCAAGTGGGACCGACCCAAAATCGTCTGTATAAAATGTGAGTTTTACACAGCAAGGTTCTCACAAACATTACTTAAAGATGTACTTTGGTTTGTTTTATTTTTAGCAAGTTCCCCGCCACGGGTCCCGAACATCGAACCTACATTAGCAGCCCTGAGGCTCGGCTGTCACTGTGAGCGCTGTGGCTCGCCAGCCCTGCTCTCATTATTAATAATTGCAAGCAAAAACATTACCGTGGCTGTGGCCTGAATTAATTCCCCTGGGTTTTCTCAGAAGTGATTGGGTATCCTTTGAAGTGCATTATGCTCAAGGTTGATTTTATTTTTTTCCTTTACAACAGGTTCAGACTCAATGCAATAGAATAGAATGAATGTGTGCTGGAAAGGGAACATGTTCAGCCTTTTTTCACTGTGTATTTTGCATGTTCACGATGCAAAACACGAGAATAGTCAGGACTCGCTCACCCGTCTTAAACCCTTTCACGTTCTATTATAATCACTGTGTTCAATGTATGCTCATGGGATTTCATGTGACGCACTATAACACAGTAACATCACGGTGAAAAAAGATTTTAGAAATACATGTTTGGTTTTTTTAACAAATAAATTCTCTGGAGTTATCTTTAGCCCACCTGAGTCGATACTTTGCAAGGGACTATAAAATGTCAGATTTCATACCTCATCCTTTTCGGGGTGTTCTGTCAGTCTTCTGGAGCCGGCACATCCTGCATCTTATATTTCTTCCCCTGGCCCAACACCTCAGTCAAATAATGGATCATTTGCAGGCCTGCAACCAGGAAGAGAACGAAACCAAGCAGGACTCCGGCCCTGGATGGCTGACTCTGGACACCCCTGATGTCACACACCTTCCCCATGTTTAGCGTTTACAGAGTTAATTGTGCTCTGATCAGATTTGACTCTCAGATTACACAGGAAGCAGAACGTCTTTCCTCTTCAAGAAGACATATAAGGAGCAACTTGAATATTCTACAAGCGAAGGCTCGCGTTTCACGTTGCTCTGCTCAGAGAGTGACAGTAATGATGAAATACTGAAATAATGTAGCTTCTGTTCAAACTGATAAAGACGCCATTGCTTCCTCTGACTCCTAATCTGCGGAAGCGGGCTGTTTTGACGCGCCGCAAGATAAAAACATTTGTAAGCGTTCATCGCAGATGACATGTCGGACCGATACGATTTGGCACCACACCCCGGGACGAGCTCTCACAGAGGATGGGAGTGGGTGGCTATCTAGGCACGCCCTTACTAAAGGCACCCGGTCCATACAATGTGAGATGAAACAGATAACCCCTCAGTGTTTCAGACACTCTGCACGGAGAATGGGACATTCTGACCTTGCTGCTTTTTGATCCCCTCTCCTTTGTGTCCTTCCTGGTTCCACCTGCCTTCGACAATCCACCTGAAAGCCTGTGATGTTCCCCATGGGATGCGTGTCTGTCTTCCAGGTTTTTCTTTTTCTTAACTTTAGAACTCTACTTTAATAAATCACACTGTTTCTCTCTCTCTCTTTCTCTCTCTCTTTCTCTCTCTCTCTCTCTCGTTTCGCCAGCTCGGCGGGCCCATCGTTACCGACGCCACCACCACAAGGCGAGGAGGGAGCGCAGGAAGCACAAGCGGCATGGCCACAGAGAGGGGGGACGCCATGGAGGGGAGCTCAACCAAGGCCACAAACACACCCTCTTCTGAACCAAAAAACACAAGATTGGCACCCTCTTTTTTTTCTTCTTCTTCTCTGCTGCAACCTGCAGCTTGCCTGTCTCCCCGTTGTCCTCATTTCCCCAAATACCACTTCAAACTCTCAGCCCATGAACTCCCCGCTCCCTTTTCTGTTCTGCCCTTACTCCCCCACTCACCTCCTCATCCCCTGGTGCACAGAGGCAACCTGCTTATTAGTCCCCTCTGAGGCCTGCCTAAATGCTGCCAGGTGTTGCCAGGACTCTAACATCCACATTGACATCCCTTCTTCTTCCTTTTCTTTGTTTTATTTTTGGGCTCCAGCTCTTTTGTCTGTCCTCCTCTCTCACACATGATCCAGTTACTCTCCCTTTGAGCTCAGCCCTTGGCCTGTTTTTTGTTTGTTTGTTTGTTTGTTTTTTGAGAACGAAAAGAAAAAAAAAACATTTTTAGTTTGAGTATGGACTTTCTTTGGCGAGAAGTGGTTTTAGTATGAACTGTAAATAGGGGTGACATCACTGAAAATGCCGTATCAAAGTCAGTCGAGTCAATGGGAGACGTCGTGATATTGACTTGAGCCTTTTGTCTATCGAACAGTTATTTTTTACAAATGCTCTGTGTTTATCTCCTGATCCTGCTGCTTTTCGGTTTGCCTCTTTGTAAGACACTGGTGCGGACTCGCAGCGCCGCCGCCGCCGCTGCGTCGTTCTGTTACAGATTTTGCTGATTTTTCAACCAGAGGCGGTTGTTAATTGAGTTATTTGATTGTTAGCGTTGTATTTTTCTTGTCAGTGTGAGACAGTTGCTTTAGATCAGATGATGAAAGCCCAGAGGAAAAATGGATAGTGGCTCCGGTTTCTGGCTCATCTAAATAAATCATCTGAGCCATCTCGAATGGTTGAAGGTGTGCCAACACTTCCTCTCTTCTCCCCACCCACTCCCCCACCCACTTTGATATCGATTGTCTCAACTCAGCTCAAAACGTCCACATTTGTTTCCTGTTGTCAACGGTGAGGGTCATAAGATTTAGACAGACACAGAAATCATAATCAAGTCACGATGATTTCATCTGCTGAACTTAAACATTTAAGTGAGTAGAAGCACCGAGTACCAGTGAAAAGTTTTCAAACATCAGTCGTGCCAGGAATATCGTTGTAATATGGATTTAGTATGAAAATATGATAGCGCAATTAGTTGCACAATTTTAAATGTCCAGTGGATTTTCTCAAACTCATCCGTCTATTCATGCGTTTGTCTTGTCCAGATCACCTAAACGAGCTTCGGCGATTCAACAGTCACTCTCAGACGTCGGAAAATCAGTTTGGATGTTCAGAGAAAATGATGAACCATCTCATGTTCAAGCTTTCCAAAATGAAACCCTGCAGATGTTGTTGAGATGGAAGTCAATATTTCTTTTAAAGGACTTGGCTAAACAGATTCTTCATTATCCAGTGGGTTTGGTTGCTGCAAAGTTAAGCAGAAACACTGTGACACTTTTTAATTATCGGTTTATTTATCACAAGTTACACAACTGGCTCAGCGTTCTACTCTACATGATCACATTTTACTTTTGACAGTCAGCCCTATTGTACAAATAAATGTATAAATAGATGCCTACCTCCAAATTACTTTAAGCTTGCTTAAGTCACAAGTTAGCTCAAACTTGGAAAAGTATTTTTTTAACAGAATAGTGATGAAGCACATTTCCATTTCTATGGATTCAGTAAAATCTATAATGAATTCACACCTGTGCATCCAGTTCTAGTTTCAGAAAACCCTTGAATTGCTTTTATCAGTCTACACGGGAAAAAGTGTGTTGAGTTCAAATAATGCAAAAATTTTAAATGCATTCATCTTGATGTTGAGTCTATATAATATGAAATGTAGACTGACGGTAACACACACAATCAAATCTAAATGAAAAAAGTACTTTATACCTCCACTGTACAGGAAATGTTTGTGCTATTATTTTTTTTCATAAAAAGGAAACAGATGATTTACCCAATCAGCTGTTTTTGATATAACTAACTTATCAGACAGATTTTCCTGAGAACTTTGTGTAAGAAACCTTCTCATGTTTCATCAGAGTAAATGCATCCAATCCCCATTTGTTTTTTTTTTTTTTTTTTTTTTTGTTTTTTTTCTTCTCTTTCATTATAATCACTCTTCAAACACATTGCGATGATAGAACCTCTTTTTAAGGCTTACAGATGAGGTGGATTTCTGGATCGCCAGTAAAATTCACTGCAGTCCTGTTTCTTGTGTTGTGCACTTAATGTTCCTCTCGCAACTAAAATAACAAAAAAGTGACAATAGGTCCCACATGATCTTATCAGATAAGTTAGACATCACATTAGATTGCTTAATAATACTTGTTTTCATCGACTGTCAGTAAAATTATTCCCCCACTCAACAGTCGATTGAGTTGACCAGACAGACTGACCGATGTGAAGCCATTTGTCAGAGCTGTACTGACTGACTGGGGTCGAACATCATCACAGGGAATAAGAAGCTGTATCGTTGAACTCGCCGTTCGTGTGTTTTCACGATACGAAAGAGTGATGGCGGCTGAGGCCGTCGTTGGCGATGGAGAGGCGCAGTGAGGTTAAGTCTTGCTGTTTCTGGGTCAGACAGAAACTCCCACCTGGAGATGTCCTTGCCACGTGGTTGTGCTCTAAACAGGAGATTGAGGGGGACTGGAAAAAAAAACAAAACAAAGAAGAACGCTTTGCTCTGTCTTCTCTCAGCTTCACTGTCCAGATAAATCGCTGCTCTTCTTTTTAAAGCCAACCCTAGAGGTTTGTGCATGTGGGATTATGACCCTCATTCCGGCATGTCTGGCTTTGATGTTTCTTCATCTTTTGCTGGATCTTTTTTCTTACTCCTTTAGCACCTTTGTGCTTTTGAAGGATTCATCCGTCTTTGCCGATCCACTTTCCTCTTTTTTTCTCTCTCTTTTACAAGTTTATTTTTAACAGAGCGTTAATGTTTTCAGTACTGTAGCTTCTACCTGAGGTTGTGTGAATCAGAATTTTGTGCCTGATTTTTTTATTTTTTTAGTGGTTTTTGTAAAACTTGTACTTACAGATGCTGACCTAAGCTGATTTAAGGTTTTTTGTACAGAGAGAAGAGGAAGACATGCAGTAAATGGTGAAACTAACCTGCACTGATCACCGTAGCCTCAGCATATGGTGCCTGTGCTCTACCACTAGGCCATATAGTGCTTTGTTTTTTGTATCTTTATATTAGCAAAAAGGGCAGTTAGCATGGCTATCATTGCAAAAATATACCTGTGTCTGAAGGTATATTTGTAGTATAACTTTGTCAATCTACAGAGACAGGAGTGGAAAGCTCAAAAGGTTGAAAACAGCTTACCTACCTTCTGCTGAATGTCTTGCTCTCGCTCGCTTTCTTGCAGCCTGGACTTACCACAGACTTGTCTCAACGTGTCTTTAAAAAACATATATCCTAAACAGCTTCTTACATTTCTGAGCAACACGTTAAAAAACCTAAAATTAGCTTTCGGTTTCAAAACTCTTGTTCACCGGTCGGTCCCAGTCGGCCACCGAATGATTTCGCTACATGTTACATGCTATAAGGCGAAATCTGCTATTTGCAGATGATATCTTTGCCTTGGTTTGTCTCCTCTCACCTTGACTAGGACAACAGCAGTCGTCTTACACCTTTGTATCAGTTCAATTAATCTCCTGCATGCCTAATTAACAAGCTGCATTATCAGCCCAACCACAGAGCTGCCATGACAGGGGAAGGGTAATGCTGATGGACAGTCAGAGGAGGGTACATGGCGGCTGTCACAGCCATCAAACCCCTGTCGCTCTGCAGATGTCAGGCTGCTTTCTCTTCCCTCCCTCCCGTTGCTCCGGTAAAATAGATTGACCATGGGTGGGTGAATAAAAGGGCAGACAGAAGACCCTCTCACTGCAGACTTGATGCTGAGAGACAGGGTAATTACAGCTGGGCAAAGGTTCGGCCGCGTGACGAGACCTAAAAAATAATGTGATAAAGTTGCAAGAAACTGAGTTGAGCTTTGAGCCTAAAAATCCACAAGCCAAGCACGTTGAAGAAACCAAAACCGACGTGACTAAAGCGGATCTTTTTATAACACAAAAACAGACCGTGCTGTCCTCACGCAGAGATGTCCTCCTTTGAATCCAGCCATCAACGTTTCTCACAGGAATACTAAACAAAAAAGTTTCACCTCAAACGCGTTAAATGAGCTCAAATACGCACACACACTCACACACACACACCAGTTCCTCCTCTGACTTCAAACACAGTGTTTGGTTCCTTTCAAAATCCTTCTTTTAATCTTCCTCACTCCCACTCGGCTCGCCTTTCCTCTCTGGGTGCTACAGTCGGAGGCCTGAGGGCAGACAAACACACAGCCACAAAGCCTGATCATTGCAAATCATAATCATAACATTGAGCTTGTTAGGATGTTTCGGCCAGCTGTCTCTCAGGTTAGAGGCTGCAGCGACTCCTTTGGGGAGCCAGTGAGTCTGTTTCTGCTCGCTGAGCCGAAGAGAGGTGTGAAATGTGGCTCAATATGGTGGGATTTTAACGAAAGGTCCATCTGAATAAATCAAGCAAAGATGCAGCGGGTCAGTCGAAGGTATGGGCTCACACTCCACCTTGTCTGTTTGTCAAGAAGCAGCTTGAAGGAGGCGCATGCAATAAAACGAGAGTCGGTAATGACAGCAAGATAACAACGATGCAGTGGCTGCCGTCCTTCTTCAGTTGCACACAGACAGACTATTGATTTCATGATTAGGCAGTCTGTCTTGTGCTCTTATTAAGTCCGTCAATGGCATCGACGGCGCAATCGCATCGACTGGCTGCTGAGTGTTTTCTAAATGACAGGAAAACAGACACAGTTCTCCTCTGCGCGTTCATTCTTTTCACAGGTTTTTGTTTTCGCTCCAAACTCTCTTTCACTCTTATTTCATTCCCCGGCCTCTCCCCTAGTGGTGTCCATACAGCATTACACCGCGGAAACTGAGTTGAGACGATTTATCATTGTCAGGAAAGCGGGACGGATGGATGAAAGGAAACGTGTTCCTGCAGCTGAGTGAGAATGACTGAGACAAACGCAGTGCAGGAGCCGGTGACGGATGTTTCCCTCTCTTTCCTCCGTTACATATCTCCTCACGCGTTACTCTCCTCCTTTCCTTACAATCCATTTATACTCTGGGTGTGTTTGTTTGTTGCTTAGCCTCTCTGGGCCACATTCACACAGCCGGTGAAAGCTCCCTCGAATCCCAGCTGCACCTGATTTTTTTTTCTCTTTCTCGCACATATCCACAAACATCCACACACACACACACACACACACGCACACACACACACACACACATACACACACACACACTGCTGCTGCTGTTGTGAAACTGCTGCAATAGATACACAGAGGCCCTTTGGTCAATACTGGCACTGCAGGAGGGCCTGAGGAAAAGCTGGGCATTTACAATACAGACGAACTTCATTGTTGGCTCTGTTCCCTGCGCAGCGTCTCAGCCTGCAGGTTTCTGCGGTGAACACAAAATGCAATATATAAAAGACTGAAGCTGACGTTGCATATGGCTGTGTGAATGTGGCTCAACAGTATTTATTGATATTTATCAGTGTATGTTCTTAATTCTAGTACTGTTATTGTATTATATTCTTTACAAGACAAATGATCATTAAAGGAAACCCTTGTTTGGATCCATCACCTGTTTGCCTGGACTCATTGTTTGATTTTGTGAAGTTATTTCAAAGCTGTTATGTGACCAAACCACTTGCTATACAACACAGAAAAACAAGAAAGAATAAAATATTAATATTATAAATAAGTCAAATCCCTCTCCTTTTGCCAGAGCAGAGTTTTATACTAAAGAACTGCAATCGATGCAACTTCCATTTTTTAACTGGGAACTTTTTGGTTTTTTAATTGTTCTTTGGTTGCACAATTACACGGTAAATTTCCTGTAGGGCGCTTTATCCAGTCTAGGGACTTCTAAAGCGCTTTGCACCATATTTAGTCTTTCAGCGACACAATTATTGGTGCTCTAAACAATTCCTTTAAAATAAATTCCACAGAAGTATTTTATCATTGAGATCAGGTTTGCTTTGTGAACTGATTCTAGAAGAATAAAACAGCAATTCTGAAGCATGTTTTTTTAAAGCAGTTTTCAATATTAAACAACTTTCAAAGCCCATAGCGCGGCTTTCTAACTTATGCAGCGGCGCAACAGTAATAATGCTGACCTCTTTGCCTTCTCTCTCCGTGTTAGCATTGATTTTATCTGACATACTTTCAGTCTTTTTATTCCAAAACCCATTGTACGACCTCTATGTGCAGAGGAGATCCATTTCCAAATCTGGGTGAAGAGGCAAGCCATTCTCTCCTGTGCCAAGAATACTGTATGAAGAAAAATAATGCAGTTTTGCTCCTGTTTTTCTTCTCCTTTTTTCTTTTTTTTTTTTTTTTTGACGTTCCAACCATTTCTGGCTGAAGCAAACAAAGTGGGTTGCCAAGGGCAAATCCCTCAGCAGCACAAGAGAAGCCGCGTAGGATGAAGAGCAGCAGAGACAGACAAGTGGGAGGGATAAAAGACATGCGATAGGAGGGGAGGGGGGCTTTATTTTGGCAGCAAACAGTCTGTGAATACAGCTACTGTTCAGCTATGTAACCTTCAGCTCAACCTGAAGGTCCGCCACAGAGCCTTCACTTATGAATGGATGGTTTCATCTCCTCACTGCAATGTTTCCTGCAAAACAATCATACAGTCGTATCTCTGTCTTTCCCCACTGCTTTGTTCTACCGTCCCACCCGTGCCCTTTAATAGATGACTGACTCATTCCATTATTATTCCAAAAACACCTGAAGACGCCGCCGTATTGGGTTCTGTTTGGATCAGACAATCAATCACACTTATTGTTTCATCTCTTTAATGCTCCCTCCTCCTTCCCCCTCGGTTCTGGCCGGCTGCGCGGCGATTTCAGCCCAGCATGGTGAGTTTCTGTGCACAACGCTCATTAGCGTTGCTTAACGGGAATTTTCTCTCAATCTCTCCCTTTCGAAATGACCTTCAGCTCTATCCTCTGCTGCTCTGCAGCTACGACGAACGTGTCACAACCACTCACATTCAGGCCCAGACCTCTGCAGAATCAAATGTGTTCCAACTGGATTTTGTCACCGTAGGAAATAAAATGCACGCTGTTAAAAATGAAAAATTATGCCAACACTTTGACCTTTTCCACATTTTGTCCCATTAAATCTGCAACCTTCAGTGTTTTTATATATATATATATATATATATATATATATATATATATATATATATATATATATATATATATATATATATATATATATATATATATATATATATATATATATATATATATATATTATTGGTATTGTTATATGGTAGACATCCAATTGACAGACTTTGGATCCCTGGACTAAATCTAACTTTGTTACCTCAGCGACATCTTTTTTTTTTTTTCATACTGCAAATTAAAAAAAAAAACTGATCAGGTTTAAGGTTCATGACTCCTGTCCAAACAAAAAAATATATATTTAAATGACATTTTCATTTATCATTTCTAAAAAGTTTTAAAAATATCTTTCCTCAAACATTAAAAAAGATCAAAACTGACAGAGCCAGGCCTGTATGTGTTAACATAATGCAGAAAACAAATAAGAAATACATTGTCTTACATTGTTGATCTGTTGAATAACATCCAAACAAACTATAATGTGTGTGGTTGTACTATTACAAAATGTGAGAAATGAGAAGTATTCACACATGTGAGGCATTGTCATCACATTTAGGAGCATCATGCAACAGAAACCCCTGCAGAGCATCACTCTTTCAACTGAATTTTCTCACAATACGCAATGCAAATATATGCTTAAATACCCAAAACGTGCAGTGCTTCTTGTTGTGTAAATGAATTAGAGAGCTGGAAAGTCTGCTTTTCATAACCTTGTTCTTGGATCAATATCGGGCTCATCTGGCAGGCGTGGCAAATCAATGTGGATCGCTGGTATTATCCTACATTATTGCCTAATGGCGCTGCTAAAGTTCAAGAAGATTATGGTAATCAACATTGGCTTTAGCGCCTGACAGTGACTAACTCTCCGCTGACACCTCAATAAGTTCTGTTTTTAATCTCTTGAAGGCTGCACTCAAAAAAAAAAAGAAAGAGAGAAAAACATGCAGAGACTTGCACAAATCTGCGTATCCAGACCCAAAAAGACAATCTGCTTCCTATTTCCGTTTATTTTTCTAATCTTTATTGCAGTCGGGTTGTTGAATAGCTTCACCCATGAATCTGCATTTGCACCAATCTTAACGATGGCACGCTGCAGATGGTGAAGCGTCAACTCATTACTGACTTGTTTTTTGTTGTTGTTTTGTTTTTTTTTACACTGTGATGTGCCTTTGTGTGCAGGAAACAGACAAAGAACAAAGGCAGAAAAAGCTTCAGACTCAGCCAGGTCGTTCACACACCGCCGGTCCAGCATCCTGCTCTCCCAGCTGTGTGTGCACTGCTCAGTGTTTCGTTTTATGACCCCATCTGATGATCTGCAGATTTGGCGTGGTTGAGTTGGTTTCTGCAAGCCTGTCATGAGAGGCGAAAGGTAGCTGACTTCATGTGCTGCCGTCCAGTTTGTACGTGTAGTCATGTGACATCTATTATTTGCATTTTGGGCAAAAACTACCATTTTCTTTGTCTTTAAGTATGTTGATTTGAGATTAACAAGTTATAATGAAATTGTCATAAAAGCAACTTTTTGATGGCTAGTATCCATTGGCTTCAGTGTTTTAATTTGCAGTAAAAGTAATGTTCGACAGCTGTACAGTAGAGCTCAGCACTATAAAACTAAAAGTAATAAAGCCGTTTTCATTAAAGACCCACCAGCATTAATTCTCAAAACTACATTTAAATAACATTAAAGAGTAAATAAATAACCTGCTGAGAATGATTAGTGTAAATTGTGTTTCTTTTCTGTGCCACAGTTGGTGCATTTATTGCTGATAAATGTGTTTCTCTTATGTAAAAAAAAAAAAAAGAACAACTGGAGACTTAGCTGCAAAGAAAAAAGATTGATTGCGCAATTTCACAAACGTGAAATAAAAACAAAGGGGTGATTTTAAAAGTCAGAGTAAAATAGCATAATTGAGATGCTGCAAATGACTTTGACGTATATTGACCATGACATAAACAGATGACATAAAGTTTGTAATCAGTAAGTTAAATAACCAAAGTCAAATGCTTTTTTTTTTTGCACAAACTTGGCCAAAAAACTACTCTGTAAACTACAGAGCACATAGTTTACATAATCAAAAGCAGAAAAGTAGATTATTATGAGGATTGTAACATGATGCCAAATCCACATTTAAAAAAAATGTTGATGGGAAACCTTTCCAACTCAGAAATGGGTTTTAAGTAAGCTCAAACATTCCTAATTGATTTTACATTTTACAGTTTGTGCTTCAGCCAGCATGGTGCCTCTTATCATCCTTAATTGGTAAAGGCAGCAGCATAAACTTGCATATTTAAAGATGGAGATGAGGAGGCATGAAATCAACAAGACATCAATGTTTTGACAAAGATAAATTAAAGCTTTTTGCAATGTTAAGACTGTCTGTCTGTCCACCTCTCTGTCCATTTATCTATCAATTGATCAATTAATTATATTCTGATGTTTCGTCTGTTTCAAACTGAATGACTCAAAGTGTTTCCACGTCTCAATAGCACAAACTACTCTCAAATGTAGGCCTCAGGCAGCTTCAGCTTTACTAAAAGAGAAAAGTGAACAGAAGCCAAGTGTTAAACTGTAACTGACTAAAAGACGATAAAGTTTGGAGGTTTGTACACTTCTGAATTTATTCGGTTTCATATTTTCTCAGCCGGGCCATAATGGCTTCCTGACCAACCGATTTCTAGAGCCTGTCAGTGGTTGGATATCCAGGTCTTCTTGGAGCTGCCTCAGTTCTGAATTTTAGAGACTTCCTTGCCTTCTGCATTTTTTGTCGTTCTGCCTCATATTTTCCAAACAAATGTTTCTCTCCGTCCGTGCAATCTCTGCTCTACTATTCCTCTTCTCCAGTGGCTCTCTGCTTCCTTTTAGACGCTATGCTGTAAATTTGCTGTGCTAAAACTCTTTATTGACCTCTTCCTTTTCCAGGGAAATAAAACCAAATCCTCTTTTGAACGGCTTACTGCTAAAGACAGTACCCACAGGAACAATAGATGGCCCGTATTATGATGAAAGTAAGCTACACTCCTTATCCGTGGATATCAGGTCAAAACTCTTCCCATTATTTAGCCCGGCACACTCCATTAGGATGGTTACCACTTTCAATTAACTCAACACGAACGCCTGCTTCATGCACCCCTGACACTAGAGAAGCCCCTCACAAATTGGCTAATTGCCTGTCACACAAACCCATTTCTTCCCATGCATAATATCCATCAGCAGCAACTTACTGCAGCTGAATTACACACAGAATGCATAAGACGCTAATGGAGATCGTTTAGGGGGCAGAGTCATTTCTTTAGCTGTGTCCCACGATGAGCTAATGGTGTTTGGTTTACTTGTGCACTAGGTCTTAACAATGTGGCATCCTAATGTGATCTAATGATGTGATTCAGATGTAAATGATGCCGAGTTGGTAGCTTTTGTTATCTAAAGTGCGTAATCTGTAAGTAAAT